TTTTTTTTTTTTTTTTTTTATTTTAACCATTCTGATAGGTGTGTAGTGATACCTTATTGTGGTTGGAGTTTGTTTCTCTGGCGGCTAGTAATGCTGTGTGCTACTTGCCTTCTTTATATCCTCTCTGGTGAAATGTCTTTGTCTTTCATCCATTTTCCAATTGGATTTTTTAAAACTGTGTTTTGAATTCTAGATACCAGTCCTTTGTCAGATAAGTGGTGGTTTGCAAAAATTTTCTCCCACTCTGTAGCTTGACTTTTTCTTTAACATTTTTTTTGATGTTTATTTATTTTCACAGAGAGAGAGAGGGAGAGGGAAGGAGAGAGAGAGAGAGAGAGAGAGAGAGAGAGAGAGAGAGAGAGAGAATGGGTGGGGGAGGGGTTTATAAGCCTGATATGGGACTCGAACTCATGAACCATAAGGTCAGGACCTGAGCCAAAGTCAGACGCTTAACTGACTGAGCCACCCAGGCGCCCCTGTAGCTTGACTTTTTATCCTCTCTTAAATGGGTCTTTTGCAGAGCAAAGGTTTGAAATTTTGATGGTGTCTGGATTGATTAATTTTTCTTTTTATGGATCATGCTTTTGGTATCAGGCCCAAGAATTCCTCACCTAGCTCTAGGTCTAGAAGATTTTCTCTTACAGTTTTTCCTAAAAGTTTATAGTTTTACGTTTTACATTTAAGTTCATGATACATTTTGCATTAATTTTTGTATAAGGTGTGAAACTTAGATTGGGGTTCAGTTTTTGTCTGTAAATGTCCCATTGCTCCAGCACTAATGGAAAGGTTATCTTTCTTTTACTGAATTGCTTTTGTACTTTTGTGAAAAGTCGCTTGAGCATATTTGTGTGGGTCTCTTTCCGGTTCTCTGTTCTGTTCTGTTGATTCATACTTCTGCTCACCCACCAACACCGCACAGTCTTGATTATTCTAGCTGTATAATAAGTCTTCAAATCGGGTGGCTCAATTCCTCCCACTCTTCTTTTTTCACAATTGTTTCAGATATGTTACTTTTTTTTTTTTTTTAAACGATTCCACATAAATTTTACAACAATCTTATCTATGTCTACAAAACATCTTGCTTGGATTGTGATAGGAATATAACTGTAAACTTGTACATCAGTTTGGTCTTGACTGACTGTGGTGGGGTGGGGGTTCCTTACTGTTTGGTCGGCTGGTTGGCAAGTCCAGGGTTCCTACATGGCCTCCTCTGGTTCTGCCCTGGTGGGGTGGGGTGGGGTGCCTCGTTACAGCCTCATAAAAGTAGAAGTTAGGAGGTGGGACTGTAGTTTTGTGTTTTGTGGGGCTTTGTTTTGTTTTATGGGGTAGAGTGGTTGTCTAAAAGTTTTGTCTTGCTAGACTGTCCCTTTTCTGGTTCTTTGAAAAGAGAACAGGTTTTTTTTGGGGGTGCTTTTGTTGTCTGTATCTGTTGGCAATTCTGGGTTGCTGGCTTCTTCAGGTCCAAGTCTGGGATAGAGGAGGCGAAAGAAACCCCAAGTAACTCACCATTGTGTTGTTCCTTGGGTTCCAGGGTCCCCGGTCAGTCTGCCTTTTCTCTACCTCTCAGAGTCTTCTGATGTTTATTTTATATATAATGCCCATAGTTTTCATTGTACTTAGTAGGATGGATAAGGAAGAGGACATCTGTTCTATCTTCCTGAAAGCCATGTCCACATTTTCTTGTCTTAATGATAAAAATTTTGAACATTCAGGAAAGTAGAATAGGATAATGAACACCAATATATGTGTCTTAGATTTAAGACATGTAAGGTTTTCCTGTATGTCTTATCCTATTTTTATTGTTTTAAAGTAAATTATAGACATATTTAACGTCCACATATTCAATATTAATCTCTAAAAAGATTTTTAAAAAACTTTGTTTTGAGAGAGAAAGAGCGAGCATGCGCGAGTCGGGAGGGGTGGAGAGAGAGGGGGAGAGAAAATTCCAAGCAGGCTCCACGCTGTCAGCAGGGAATCTGACATGGGGCTCGATCCCATGAATTGAACTGTGAGATCATGACCTGAGCTGAGATCCCAGACACTTGACTGACTGAGCCATGCAGGTGCTCCATAAAAAGATTTTTTAAAAATAATAAATAAAAAGTAAAATCACGTTTACGATGTTAGAAATAACATCGTATTTTAAACATGTTTTAAACATGAGGACAATTTTAAACATGTTTTAAACATGAGGACAATACTTTATATCAGTACTTTGTATCTAATGATTTACAGTAATATCCTAATATTATCTAACACCCACTTCATATTCTGATGTCCGTATTTGTCCCCAAAATATCTTACAGCTGGTTGGACAAAGTGACATAGAGTCAAGAGCATGAATTGCATGTAGTTGTTATGCTTCTAACGCATTCACTGTGAATAATCTCTCTTCGGTTTTTTTTCTCTGTGAGACTGATTTGTTGAAGAAATAGTTCCAGTTGAACCTTGGGATGTCCCATTATCAGTAGGATTTGTCTCATTGTTTCCTTGTATTTTTTTACCTTTTGCGTTTTCTGTAAACTTGAAGTTAAATCTGAACTCTCTATTAGATTCAAGATCAGCAAGAATATTTCGTAGATGATACATGTGAAATAGATTTGTGAGGGACTCATATGCCTCTGTTGTTTATAACTTTTTTATGTAATAGAGAAGATGCCTTCTGCCTCCTGTGATTCTCTCCTGGACGACATAGAAGATATTGTGTCACAGGAAGATTTAAAGCCACAAGATAGGCATTTTTCACGGAAGCATGTTGTTCCAAAGGTGCGAAAGCGAAACACCCAAAAATATTTGCAAGATGAAAACAGCCCACCGAGCAATAGGTAAGCTCTTGTTTTGAGATTATATTCAGTATCCTACCAAGGAAGAAACTGGTGCTACTGATACATACTGGTATATATCAGTGTGTGTGTGTGTGTGTGTGTGTGTGTGTGTGTGTGTGTGTATGTATGTATGTGTATATGTGTATATATGCATATATGTATATATATATATATATACTCATATATATGTGTACATATATATGTATATATATATATATATAGGTGCTGTTTCTAAAAATCTTTTGGAGAGGAGATATTTTATTTGGTTTTAAATTTGGCAAAGTAATTGGTTAAAAAAAAAAAGATGTCAGATGGCATGTTTCTTGAAGACTGGGTCAAGGACAGTATTTGGCATAAATATGGGAAATGCTGCCCCTGCCCCATATCTGTGTCCGCTACCCCAGGATCTCTTTGGTATCTCTGTAGTTGGTATGTAATTTTGTGTTACTTCCAAATGAGGCATTTTACTGCATTTTGAAATTCTTATGAGACTGGTGGTTTGGGTATTTGATTTTTCTTAGCAAATTTACAAATACTTCTGGATCAGCTAAAGGCATTGGCACAAAAAAATTATTGTGTCATTTATCATATTAGGTCTGTTGTAGTTCTGTGAAATTGTAATACAGCCTAGCCAGAAAGGATTATGCAGTTGTATAATTTTAACATGCTTATATTTGTTTAGATAGTAAATTGTTGAAAGTTTTAATGCATTCGATGGTTTTATTTGTAACACTTTTTAAAGTCTGTGAATTTAAACTTCTCATATTTTAATGACTGAAGTTTATTGAATTTGCTCTGAATATGTCTTTAAGGTAACTTCTATTTAAATTTAAATTATTAGTGCAGTCTGAGTTGAACGACTATTTTTCCCTTTCTAAAAATATTACATTTTTATAACTATTTTTACATATGGAGTACTTTTAATTATGCTGTAGGGTGATGGTTTTTCTGTTTTGATTCAGTTATTTGTATCTGTAAGTTATAAAGATTGTAATTGTTATATAGGAGTCATTGAATGGGTGATGTCCTTAGTTTTTCTTTATTTGCTTCTCTTGCTAGAACCATTTTGTTTGCTATTGTTATTTGTATTTACCTCTTTAGGAGTTTAACTTAGTGATAGTACTTTAGTACTGAATTTAAAATGCAGAGAAAAGGGAAATATTTATATGGAGAGAGTCATAACTTAGGTTTCTGTGGTTATTTTACTTTGATTTTAGACTTTTGGTGTAACAGTTGATTATGGATTAAGTTGCTGCGTTTCATGAATAGATTGCACATGGGTTGCCGTGAGCGTATTTTTGCATAATATGCCCAGAAATCGAGTGATTTTGTTCGAAAAAAAATTCCTAAATGAGACTTACTTTTTTTTTTTTTTTATTGATTGTTTAATAGCACTATTCCAGGCATACAGAAAATTTGGATGCGAACATGGGGTTGTTCTCATAATAATTCGGATGGAGAATATATGGCTGGACAACTAGCTGCTTATGGATATGAAATTACAGGTAATGGGATCTGTAGTGTATTTTATTGGTTAGGTTTTTCAGGGCTGAATTCTTTAGAGATATATATTTTAGCTTCAGCAGTTAAAGTATATTTTAGCATGACTTAATGATTTTAAGGCAAAACAAAATGATAACTCTTATATGTTGTCTAGATAACTATAGATACATTATTATACAGATACTTAAAAAAAACTACTTTGGGGCGCCTGGGTGGCGCAGTCGGTTAAGCGTCCGACTTCAGCCAGGCCACGATCTCGCGGTCCGGGAGTTGGAGCCCCGCGTCGGGCTCTGGGCTGATGGCTCAGAGCCTGGAGCCTGTTTCCGATTCTGTGTCTCCCTCTCTCTCTGCCCGTCCCCCGTTCATGCTCTGTCTCTCTCTGTCCCAAAAATAAATAAACGTTGAAAAAAAAATAAAAAAAAAAAATAAAAAAACTACTTTGAAATAAATTTAGACTTACAGAAAAGTAGTAATATGACAGTTTGCATATGTCCTTTACCCAGTTTCCTCTAGTACTGGCATCTTACATAATTAAGCTAGAATTAATAAACTAGGAGGTTAACATTAGTGCAGTACTGTTACCTAAACTGCACATCTTGTTTGATTTCTGCCAGTTTCCCCATTGACGTTCTTCTGTTCCAGGACCCGGTCTAGCATCTCACTTTACATTTATTTGTAATGGCTCCTTAGTCTCCGCCAGTTGATAGTTCCTCTCTTGTTCCTTGTCTTTTATGTCTATGGACTGCTGAGGAAAGCTGATTAACAGTTATTGGTTGTTTTGTAGAATGTCCCTCAACTTGGGTTTGTTGGGTGTCTTCTCCTGATCAGAATCCGGTTATGTATGCATTCTTGGCAAGAAGAGCACATTGAGTTCTCAGTGCATCATATCCGGGAGTCGATAATGAGTTGATATGTCTTATAACCAGAGGGCCACGTCTGCTAGACTTCTCCACAGTCAAGTTGCCGTTTTTTTCATTGTAATGAATAGATCTCCTGTTTCCCCCCAACATTTCTCTGCTAGTTTCAGTGTCTGAAAATTTGTGTCCATGGATCGTGTCTGCAGCAGTCATTACTGTTTGTTAAATGGTGATTCACTGTTTCTTCCTTTCTTACGCTTATTAATTGGAATTCTCCTGTAAGGACGACCCTTTCTCCCTGGTTTTATTTACATATATTGGCATGGATTTACATGCTTGTTTGTCGTTCCTGTGGGTTGTAGTCCAATACTGTTGTTATTTTGCCGCTCGTCTGCTCCAATTTGGCCGTAGGACCTTGTCAAGATGGCTCCTGTGTTTTCTCAACAAGCCCCCGTTCTTTCTCTTGTCTGCCGCCACAAGATGTGCTCGTCTCATATTTTCCCTTCCCCAGCCTTGGAAGCAACCATTTTTCCAGGGAGTCCTGATCCCTTTCGGTAAAAGAATGGTGTTTTGAGCCAGACGAGCTTTGTGGGCAGTAGGTGAGCTCATTGCCACTGTGAAGTGTCCATGTGTCTAGGAGCTGTCAGTGGACGGAGCTAGGAAGTATGTATATGTGGAAACCGGCACATGTCGTGTCTACATTACTGTGTCTGTCAGCATGTATAGTGAATGGGGCCATGATTTGATATTTTGTGACAGGCACTGGCCTGGTGCCTTATGTATGTCACCTTGCTTAGCCTTTGGGAGATGTGGAAATATTGGCATCCTGACTTGACTATACAGACGAGAATGGAGAGGTTGTGTCCTACCTTAAATCACACGGACAGTGAAGTCTCTTGTCACCCCAGAACACTGCTCTTGACCACTGTTGCCTATGCCTGTGTGATTGGCAAAGTCTTAGCCTCAAGATGGCCTGTGAGGATATGGGAAGATTGGAAACTTCTTTCCTAGTGGTGTTTCCTTCAGCAACTCAATGATCCTAATGTCTTAACTCTGAGTTTTTGATAACTTGTCCTTTAGACCGCAGAATCAGCCTTAATAATTTTGTTCTTTAGATAAAAGTACTCAAAATGTGTTTTTAGAATGATTTCTCAAAAAAATAAAAGGATTATCCTTCTGGATTCGTTAGTAAATTTTAGTGTAAGTTAGCGTGGGTTTGCCTTGATACATTCTGATGGTGCAGAATATTAAGACAATAGTCTGTAAGATAATTTCCTAAAACATTAAAAAAAATGAGCTTGACTTCTAGGTAGTGTTAAATATCTAACACATTATAATTTTAATTTTAGTCCATTAGAATTTTGTATTTGATCTTATTACAGTACTGTTCTAAGTGATAAAAAGTAAAATAGTCCTGATGCATTTACACAAGAATACCAAGTTTTGTTATGTATATCCAGCTTTAGCCTTTTTTTAATTTTTAATTTTTTGCTTTAAAGAGAGAGTGCATGTGAGAGGGAAAAGGGGTAGAGGGAGAGAGAAAATCTTTTTTTTTCTTTTTTTCTTTTGAGGGAGAGAGAAAATCTTAAGCAGGCTCTATGCTCAGTGTGGGGCCTGACATGGGGCTCGATCCCAGGACCTGGGATCATACTTGAGCTGAAATCGAGAGTTGGATGCTCAACCCACTGAGCCACCGAGGTGCCCCCAATTTTAACTTCTTATTTGGGAAATAGTAAAAAGAGATAATAAATTGAAATTTGTTTCTTTTATTAATGTGGTGTACTACTTTTATATAGTTTCATTACTTGTATGTATTTGTACTAACTTTATGTCCTGTTGATTGTCCCCGCTTTAGAAATTTATAGTCTGTGTTTAATTCTAGTCTGGCTTGCCTGTAGTGGACTATAGAGTCCCTTTTCTCACTGGTCAGGTGCTGTAGGCCCAGAAAGTATGAACGATAGTAGCTGCTGTAAAACATTTAGAAAGGAAATCTCTGGGGTGCCTGGGTGGCTCAGTCAGTTGAGTGTCTGACTTCGGCTCAGGTCATGATCTCGCATTTGGTGAGTTCGAGCCCCATGTCGGGCTCTGTGCTGACAGCTCAGAGCCTGGAGCCTGCTTCGGATTCTGTGTCTCCCTCTCTCTGCCCCTCCCTCTCTCATGCTCTGTCTCTCTCAAAAATGAATGAACATTAAAAAAAAATTTTTTTTGGGGCGCCTGGGTGGCGCAGTCGGTTAAGCGTCCGACTTCAGCCAGGTCACGATCTCGCGGTCCGGGAGTTCGAGCCCCGCATCGGGCTCTGGGCTGATGGCTCAGAGCCTGGAGCCTGTTTCCGATTCTGTGTCTCCCTCTCTCTCTGCCCCTCCCCCGTTCATGCTCTGTCTCTCTCTGTCCCAAAAATAAATAAACGTTGAAAAAAAAAATTAAAAAAAAAAAAATTTTTTTTTTAAAAGAAATCTCTACAGATTTTATACTTATATTAAATATATGAGATGAATGATGGGTGGATTGTTTGTGCTAGCCGTCGTCTTTCATTATTGTGGAATAGTGGGAGTTTATATAAATTATTATTGCTAAATAATTTTAAATGTTTTATTAATCAAATATAGACCTAAAATGTTTTTTTAACTGTATAATTGATGCAAAATAGGCATAAGATATAGATTATGTAAAATGAACACCGAGATTACTGAAAACAGTATACAATAAATTCGAAATTAGCTCTCAGTTACCGGTAGTAGATATTTTTACTATTTGGAGACAAAAGAGATTATGTGAGTATATACTTGAAATTGCTTTTAACTGTGTGAATCCAGGAATATAATTATTCTATAGTAAAATTTCAAAGAGGCTTACTTAGAGCAGTTAACTCTTGTTCATTGCTTCTTTCAGACCCTTTTTATTTTGAGAGAAAAGGTGGTTCATAACTTACAAAATAGTGCCTGCTAGTTTTTCATTTCAAAGAATGAAGCCTACTGAGGAGAATTGATGACATTCCCTAAAATTCAGAACAGTCGGTTGCATCATGGGTACATGGATGCATGTATACAGTTAGCGTCATGGAAAACGGTGAAACTGTCCCTGTAGACACCATGGCTTTTAAAAGAAATATGTTTTGAATGCATACATTCCATGAGTGTTGTTTCTTCAAGTAAGCAGTTTCTGTAGACTGAACTTTTTTCCCCCAGTAAGGCTGCCTTTGGTTAATGTTCTTGGATTATTTCTTTGGAGATGTTGGGAAAGTATTTTCAGTGTCCTCATTCGTGGCAGATCTTCATTATCTTCAGAGTGCATTTGAGGTTAGAATGGTCACAGGTCATTTGAAGCCACTAAGTAATAAATAAAGTATGTGATATGATGTTGAGCCATGCTGTTTTAGTTAAAAGTAAGACATTTTTTATCTTAATTGATTCTGAAAACTGTTACAGAAGAGTTTTCAAAAATGTTTATAGCAGCGATATGTATGCTTTTTGGATCGCTTCAGACTCTCACAACTATAATTTCATCAAAGAATTCATAACCAGTTGCTTGTATATTCCAGTAGTGGAATAAAGGCATGGTCTCCCAAGGTGATGACTTTAGAGACAGCTCTCATTTAGGTAGAGCTGTATTAGAGATATTTTAGATAGAGCTACATTGGAGGGAGAGAGAGATGCTGGAGAGAGACGTTGTTTACTTTGTAGCTGTGCTTGCTGTGAATGAAAGTAGCATGTGCTTTTTGGTTTAGTGGAAAAAAAGTCCATTGCAAGGCCCTCGACTGAAGTTTTAGTTCATAGACAGATGAGAATAATGTGAGTTATATGTACAGAATATTTGTGATAAGCCTACATAGTTCAGAATAGAGTGTTTAGCTTGGGTGCCCCCAGTTTCAGAGAAATCATTTTTATTTCATTCCACTTTTTTGAAAACAGTGCGTGTGCGTCGTGTGTGTATGAATGTGGGAGTGGGAGAGAGACTCTTAAGTAGGCTCTATGCCCAGTGTGGAGCCAGACACAGGGCTCAATCTCGTGACAGTGAGATCACGACCTGAGCCAAAGTCAAGCGTTGGACACTTAACCAACTGAGCCACCCCGGTACTCCAGAGAAATGATTTTTAAATTAGGTTTGACAGTTCTTGATAGTTCCTTTGTATATTTGTATACCATTTA